TTCCAGCGTTATTTTTCTACTGAAAGCAAATATGGAAATGAAACTTACATTAATGTATAGAGAAAGATGTGTTCTTTCAGATGCCACCAAGATTGTTGGATTTGGACAGTTTTCAGGTCTGTTATGGTCCAATATATGGACCCCTCTTTGCGCGGGAACCCAACCTGTAACGTGTAGGCAAACGGAGAATTTCAAAAAATAGCAAGCAGAAGAACAAGAACTATTGGAAACTTCCAGCGTTATTTTTCTACTGAAAGCAAATATGGAAATGAAACTTACATTAATGTATAGAGAAAGATGTGTTCTTTCAGATGCTACCAAGTTTGTTGGATTTAGACAGTTTTCAGGTCTGTTATGGTCCAATATATGTACCCCTCTTTGCGCTTAAACACAACCTGTAACGTGTAGGCAAACGGAGAATTTCAAAAAATAGCAAGTAATAGAAAGAAAACTCTTGCATTCTTCCAGCGTAATTTCGCTACCAAAAGCAAATATGGAAATGAAACTTACATCAATGGATAGAGAAAGATGTGCCCTTCAAGATGCCACCACCATTGCTGGATTTAGACAGTTTTCAGGTCTGTTATGGTCCAATATATGGACCCATCTTTGCGCGGGAACACAACCTGTAACGTGTAGACAAACGGAGAATTTCAAAAAAATAGCGAGCAGAAGAACAAGAACTTTTGCATTCTTCCCGCGTTATTTTTCTACCCAAAGCAAATATGGAAATGAAATTTACATCAAAGCATAAAGAAAGATGTGCTCTTTCAGATGCCACCAGGGTTTTTGGATTTGGACAGTTTTCAGGTCTTTTATGGTCCAATATAGGGACCCATCTTTGCTTGGGAACACAACCTGTTACGTGGAGGCAAACGGAGAATTTAAAAAAATAGCAAGCACAAGAATAAGAACTCTTGCAAACTTCTAGCGTTATTTTTCTACCGAAAGCAAATATGGAAATGAAACTTACATTAATGTATAGAAAAAGATGTGTTCTTTCAGATGCCACCAAGACTGTTGAATTTGGACAGTTTTCAGGTCTGTTATGGTCCAACATATGGACCCCTCTTTGCGCGGGAACA